TGAGAACGTGAGAGTATACCATTTATGCTCGACAAGGGGTGTCATTTGTTCGAGGAGACAGAAAGTTGTGGAAGTTTGGAAGTTGACACGTTGTGTGTCTCGAGCCACGTGCCTTGCTGTATGTGTGATGATGGCTAGTCTAGGGAGTAGGTTTAATGATGGTTGAAAATGATTGTGCGTTTCTCGAGGTGCATGCATGCGTGCTTGTTTACTCAGGTCTATAAATAGGAAAAAAGGGATCATTTGCAAAAGGTTTCAAAATTTCATCATCACTCGCTCTTGCCTACTCTCACTCTTGGAGAATTCACCGTCGTCGTTACTTCCTTTGTTGGCGGAGTATTTTCAACTACCATCCATCATCGCCAAACAAGTAACTTTCTTAGCTCTTCTCTTAATTCATACATTCATATTAGTTAGAATGCTATTTAGCTTTTCAAACTTAGGAGTGGCGAATTGTTGGTGTTTAACGGTGGTTACGTCATTTTCAAATACCAGACACCTTTTATCTTCCTCGATGGGGGGGGGGGGGGGGGGGGGATGGGGTGCTCAGGCACCGTTTAGGGCAGAAAGTAGGGCTAGTGTTGGCGGTACCCGTGGCGGTGGTCACGCCATATTCTAGGTTTTGCAATGAATCCTATGAATTTTCTGATGAATCGTATGATGTTTTCGATGATTCCATGAATTTTTCGATGGTCTATGAATTTTCAGATGAGTCTATGAATTTTCAGATGAGTCTATGAATTTTCTGATGAACCTGATAAATTTCAGATGAGTCTATGAATTTTCTGATGAGCCTCATGAAGTTTCTGATAAGTCTCATAAAGTTTCCGGTGAGTCTCATTCAGTGTTCATATCCCATTTGTCAGAGAGTTTCTACCCTGTGAGATCTGACGTCCATCTTTCGCGTTTGGTCTTTGGCGATGACCTTCCCAAAGTGTTGGTCGCGGGCATCTCTGGTCGTGGGAATGTTCCTTGTACTTTTCATCATTGATCAGGGCCTTGGCCGGGGTGTCATCCTCATGCCTTTTGCACCATTTCACTTGATTTATAGTGGAAGGATGGATTTGATTTAATCGTCGAATTCACTATTTTCCTCTATTTTTCAGGTAAAATGACTCATTACGAGGATGATGTTGCGCCTGTTATCCCTGACCTGAGTTGGGTCGGGGAGGATCCCCAAGGCTTGGCCTTGCATTTTTCTCTTCATCCCGAAGAGGCTTTTACCTTCGTGGGGGAAGGTGCTAGTCATGAGGAATCTGACGAAAAATGGGCGATTATACGGCCTGAACACGAACAGTGATTATGCTCGAAACTTGAAAAGAATCAATCTACCATGTACGACTATTGTTTCGGAGAGGTGGGCTTGTGATTGCCCTTCAGTGATTTCCAAGTGGGCATTTTTAACCATCTGGAGCTAGCGCCTTCCCAACTTCACTTGAACACAATCTCCTTCATCCAAGTATTTGAGATCGTTTGTCGGTACCTTAAAATTGGTGCCACCATTCCATTGTTTATTTGTTGTTTCCACCTCCAGCGACAGTCTTCCAAAAACCGACACAACTGGGTTTCGTTGAAGCAGCCGAAGAAGCTATTCAAGGCATTATGTGAATCAGTTCGTACTTTCAAAACCAGGTACTACGTTATTCAACCCGTGTCGTCGATGATAATTTGCTTGGTGTTCGACCGGGTGGAAATAGTTAGTCCAAATAGGTGTCCTCTTTGCAACGAGCGCGGGAAGGAGAGGAAGAAGCTGGTCTCAAAGTTCTGTTTTGCACTGGAGTTTCGACCATTTTGAACAAGGCACAAATTACTACAATGTTAGGGAGGATCATCTAGATGTAGAGGATCTGGCTAGCTATAATAAATTAGTAGCGTTTATCGATATTTTTGTCCCTGCTCGGTGCGAGACCAAGAGGGGGGAACCTATCGTTGATGATTGAGGGGAGCATGTGCTTAAAGCTCGACTTATCAACATTAAAGAGCTCCTTGAGTGTGGTACTGTCGAGGAGGCTTTAGAGCTTTTAGGTATTTGTATTTCTTTCTATCTTTTACGTATTTATTTTTTATCTTCTAACAGTGCTCGATTTTTATTGCATGAAAAATGTCGAGCTTCCAAGATCGAGTAGTGAAGTTGGCTGCTACAAATCGGGAAAAACCATCAAAGGAAGTTGTTATTGCCAAGACTCATTTTGCTGGAGTGTCAAGTCAGCTGCAATTTGGGTCCGGGACTTTGTTATCCTCACGCACCGAGGAGAGATCCCCATCGAAGGAGACCACCATGTCTAAGAAGCGGCCTCGTGCGAGCACTGATCAGATAGATCTCACTGATGACAATGCCGAGGACAAGTTCGAGTTGCCTCTTGTCTTCTTAACAGGGGGTTCTTCGAGGGGGGGTCCATTCTTGGTCGTGCCACGTTCTTAATCATTGATCCTCGAGGGCCTTGATGTGGCAGGGAAAAGGAAACTTGTTTCCCAAGATGCTAATGCAATGATCATGATTTTGGAGATGGTGGTGGTTTATGCTGATGGGGAGGCTGGCTCTGCGAAAGAATTGAAAAGGGTGCAAAAAGTCATTGCAGACCTTAAGGGAAAATTTTCCAAATTAGAAGCCGACTTTGATGATTATAGTGACCGATACAAGATCCAGGTTGTGCTTATTGCTGAAGTGATCGACTAGAGGGCGGTGATGGCCAATACGACCGCGAATATAGCTAATCTGACGGTCGCCTATGCTGCTGACAAGAAGAGTCTTTAACCAAGGTTGTTGATTTCAAGGTTTTTGTTGTAGCTGAAACAACCGGCTGAAAATAATCAAATAATGAAGTCGCCATCGAACCTCTTTTATCCCACATGAAGGGAAAGATGGACATCGAGAAAACCTGAGAAGGGAGAAGTCATTGTCTTGCGACCGAGAGATCGGGTAAGAGAGTCTGTTACGCGAGGGGAAGATATTAGCACCCCACACGCCCATAGTACTATACGGTATCCACTATTGTTATCTATCTTATGGGTGTGTTTAATCTATGTCTACTGCTTACTACTAAAGACGAATGCATGCAAAATAAATACGGGGAAAAGAAGGAAGTATTTACGAATTTCGCTCGGTTAGGCCCCGTGACCTGTTGCCTATGTATCCCTTTCGAGGAATCAGAGCGTCGTAGTTCATCTCACATGTTTTGTTTGTTTTTTATTTTTAATGGAACAATTCTAAGCTTCGCATTCTACCACTGCTCGACCCTGAGAGACTCATGCGTCTATAATAGAAATGAATTAACATGCTCATGCCTGACGAGGTATCTTCAAAAGAAAAAAAAAGTTCGGAGGCGGATAATGTTTTGCTCACGACTCTTTGGCAAGTAGACATGGGTGCAACCCGAACTTCAGGGATTTACGTGTCATACCGCCTAAAGTAGAACTAGCACATCCTTTTGAAAGTTTCGATGAAAGGCCCGAAGGAGAAAAGAGTTTGGATTGGTTGATGTTTTTACCTTGAAAATGGATTTTTGTATTATTAGAGATGTTTTATGGTTTGCCAAGAAAAACAAAGTTTTAGTTTTAAACGCAAATGCAAAAAGGGGAGAAAAATACCAAAAGGGAAATTCTATTCCTAATGTTGACATGCAATGGTGGTCCTAAAGTTAGGGTAACAAAAGGGGAAGCTACTTATTGTTAGCGTACAAAGATAGACCTAAGAGTGAGGATAACTATCCTATAGGGAACATGAAAAGGGATCGAAGTCGTTATCTCAATTCTAATTGAGTGACATCATCGATCATTAACAAAGGAAGACGATAAAGCCCTAAGGGAGCATGCAAAGATCGAAGTCGTTATCTCAATTCTAATTGAGTGACATCATCGATCGTCAATCAAAGAAAGCAATAAAATCATATGGGGAGCATGCAAAGATCGAAGTCGTTATCTCAATTCTAATTGAGTGACATCATCGATCATCGAAAGATGAAAGCAAACACAAGCACAATTAGTAAACAAGTGTGGAATGTCTACTACAGGTCTTTAAACAGCGACTTCGAGCGCACGCTCTTTATTTCCTACTTTTCATGATATCTAAAAAAGTGGTAAAACATGCATCTCTTTTCCTACTTCTCATGGCACAGAAATCAAAAGACAATGCAGAAATGAGGAGTAAAATAAAGTCACGATGATACCTAACGGAGAAGGTCCGTTGCCTCTTCGAAGCCACACAAGCAATAATAAACCCAGAAAGATGTCATGATCTTCACACAATTGATTAAAAATGGATCACCACCATTATAAAATGAGATACGCCTGGGGGTTCAAATTGTAAACAGGAGGTATTTTCCAGAAATTGGAATGAGGCACTAAGCCCATCCAAAAAATGATCCACAAGCGGCCTTTTTGTTCAACTAGCTTCAATTCAATGCAAAAATTTATTGGGCTATAGGGAACTCGCAGCAAGGGGCCCAAATCATGTACAAATACAATCCACATTTTTCAGATTATCAGGTTTTTATATTATGAACGGATCGTCGAAATTAATTGCAAAAAAATCAAAGAAACAAATTGAAATTACAAATGAACTAGGACGTACAGTGGACCAGAAGAGTGGGAGGCCCAGCGTAGGGAGGCCCAAACGAATTCAACCATAGTCCAATTTGAACATTAAACAAGCGAGAGAAGAACGGAACCGCTCCTTATCTTCTTCTCCAATCGACATCATCACAACATCACCGCGAATTCAGCGTCAAGGAGCCAATAACAACGCCTCATCATCATCGATTCACTTCTTCCTCATCCCCAAGCAAACCAAAACCAGCCGCAGCAGTAGACACGCTCCCACCGCCACTTTTCTTTGATTTCCCCCTTTATCTTCCCAACAAACACGATCTCCGGATGTGGCAACAACATTTCCTTTGAAAGTTCAGTTCCGATGGTGTATTCATCATCGCTTATGGCTGGATTCTTCTTCTTCTTCTTCGATTTCCGTTTAGCTAAATTTCGGTGTTGAAACACTAATATTGATGATGTTGAGTGTTGTGTCGTTGTTCTTGATGCAGAAAGATGATTATGTAGCTGCGAGAGAGTCTGAATTTTCTGTATATCCGTGCGTGTGATTACACTCTCCAACTCCTTCTTCTCGTGCTTATTATTATGTTGTTGAATTTGCAGAAGAAAAGGAGTTTTGCGTGCGTTCAAGAGTGAGGTGTCAAGGTGATGCAGATTGATGAGGAAGATCGATGAAACGTTGTTGATGCCAAGATTTTAATGAGATGGAGTTGTGCGGTTCAGGGCTTGAGGCCAGTCGATGGAGTGTGATGATTGGCGATGAAGGTGGAGAAACGGATTGAAGCCAAGAATTGATTCACGGCTGAAGATGGTGATGAAGGTTTTTACAGAGAAAGAGAGTGAAGAGAGAGTTTGTGATGTGTTTGTGGTGATTCTCCAGATTGTGAAGAATGAGAGAGGGAAAGGTAGAAGATTTTCAGAAGATGATGAGAACGTGTCAATTCAGAGGGAGCAAGCTGAGTTATTTTTGTTGTATTTTTTGATTCTCCAACGATTGAAGAAGATGAAGATGAAGATGATAGGAGAAGAGGGAAAGGAGATGAAGCTTGTAGTGATTCTCTAGAAAGAATGAAGCAATTACCAGGTCATTCTCCTCTATCCTGTTAGAAAACAGTTAGAGCTTTTTATAGTTCTGTTAATAGCTAGAAGATATGATAGTTGGCACCGTTGGATTTCTGTTATGGTAGTTAGTTTTGAGAAGGTTAGGGAGTTGTTGAAATTCTGTTAGAAACAGTTAGGAGGCTAGAGGAAGTTAGGATCTCAAAACTTCTGTTACAAGTTAGTTAGCCCTGTTTAGAAAAACAGTTAACACTGTTAGTTTTAGTTGGTCTTGAGACTGGATTAGTGAGTGTTAAAAATAGTTAGGGTGAACCGAAAGTTAAAAAAAAGAGTCTATTATGAGTCAGTAATTAAAAGATTGTTATTGTTAGTTCTGTTTTGTATTTTCCTGATTTTTTTCAGTAAACTAATGCAGGGCTATTAGTTAGTACATGAACTGGTTTGTGGATATAGTGCAGGTTTATGTTTGGATATGGCTACCTAAAGTGCTGAAACTGACATGGTATGCTTGGTTTTATGTAGATTCAAATGTGGTTTTCAAGCATGGAATTGGGTATTAGCAAGGAAGATAATGGCATGGTCGAGTACTCTTTTGGCTTAGTTCAAGACTTGGAGAGAATGAAATTATGGAAGATAGCAAAGAGTTTAAAACGTGGAGGCTTATCATGGAAGACTTTGAAGTATGAAGAGATAGGCTTTAGGAAAGATATAAGAACTTTTTTTGTAATTATTTTTGAGTTGTAATGTTTGTGACATGAGATAACCTTGTAATGGTAATGGTTTATGTAAAGGAAATGGTGCAATCTTGCAAGGTTCAAATGAATGTAAATGGTGATTTATAACTTGTACTTTGAACAAAATTGAATAAGATCCTTGGACGGAAGTTTGATGAACGACATACTTTTATAGTTATCTTGAATGGAATTGAATAACCATGAATGAATTTTTATGAAGCTTGCATAAGATTGAATGAAGCTTGCATAAGATTGAATGAAGCTATGGGTGATATCCTCTTATGATACTCGTGTTTTTCTTTTCTCGTACAAGAACCAAAGATTATGTCATGTAGCTTAAGCAACATGTGTACCTCTTGATAGATGAAAGACGATCTCAATACAAAAAGTAATGCCTTTGAGAAAACTCTTTGATGAAGATAAAACTATAATCTCATGCCTTGAATACACGTTGGTGAGGAAATTACTTGAGATGTAAAGAAGAGCCAAAATCCTAACTCAAATCCTTCTCAGTTGAAACATTGATAAAAACCCTAAGCACTTGATCTTGAGAACACTTGATGAGGATGGAAAACCTTGTAGCTTAATGAACACAACCCTAACTCCAAACCATGATCGTTGAAGAAATAACTTGAATTACCCTTGAATGCAGAGGAGAGCCTCAAAACCAAAGAGAAACCCTAATTATTCAATACCATTGATCCCATGCTAAACTATGTTGTTAGTGAATGTATTCAATGTTAAATGACCTAATGGAAGGTATGCAGATGAAATGAGAAGTGCAAAATGCATAAGCCAGATAAAAGTAAAAGGGTAGGACAAATTTGGGGTGTGACGACACCCTCCGAGGATAAGCCCGATGAGATAAAGACATTGAGGTGCGGCAACGAGCTTGTCTCCTACATCCAGAATCTCAAACAATATGTGTTAGAAGCCATTGAGAATGTGGTGGCTCAGCTCAAAGTGGGGAATCCTAGGCTAGAGCTTTCTACGGAAGGGGTCGATTTTCTGAACAGCGTTATTGATGGTCGAATAGTGGCCCCAGAGATCCTCGACTTCGGCGGGGAAGAAGATGGAGAGGAGCGGGAACTCACTGGGGATGATCACATGGCAGAAGACTAATTAACTTTATCCTTTCTTCTTTGTGTTAGTTTGGCCCGCGCGTTATTATTTGTAAACTTTTTTTGATGGGCTTTGTCCGGTTGATATAATATTCTGACAATTTTGGTCTTCGTGACCGTTGCTTTACTCTATTTTGGACGGGGGCTTGGCCCTCTTTAGCGTTTTTTAATATGCTTGTGTACGGTTTTACTTATTTATACTCTATACTCGTATTGCTTTTGTTTGAGCTTTGCATGCATGTTTTCTCGCTAGCTTGAAGCACATATTTTTGAAAATTTTTGCTAAGTGTTTTTCTGGGATTTGCTATACTATTAGGTTGTTCGAAAATGTGGGGAGCTTGTCGAACGACCAAGGTTGAATTCCAAGAAAAGGGTAAAGTTTAGGTCTCGTTTTTGGAATCTAAGCTTTGCGGCGTGAACTTTCGATTGTGAGTTGGGTATTCTGCCATCGTGGTACAGTGACGGTGGAGCTCGATTGAGTTTTCCTCGTCATGTCAAAGATCTTCTCTTTAAAGAGTGGAAACTTGCCTTTTGTTTGAATTTGAGGTGTTGTGTTTATACCTGAGCACGCACATATAGTCGGGAATGCTATGTTTTTCGTTTGTAAAAGCATGCTGACTTTTTGGCCTTTAGCTGTAATATTGTTTCAGCTTTTCAGCCTTCCAAGGTCGAGCGAGGTCTTCCCTATGAAATTTTTTGAGGTAGTAGGCCCCATTCTCCGTCTTTGCTTGGACTTGATAGGGACCTTTCCAGTTTGCGGCGAGTTTTCCCTCGCAGAAATCTTTATGATTTCTTCTTAAGACTAGACTATCGACTTTGAATTCTCATTGTATGACCTTTGCATCATGACGTATGGCAATTTTTTTGTTTTAGTGAGGCTTCTCAAAGGGCTGCTCCTAACCAAACTTCTTTGAAACGGTCGAGCTCCTCCCTTAATTCCTCGTTGTTCATCTCTTCATCGATAAGGGCTTCAGTTTACATGGATGACTCTCTGATTTTGACTAGGATCAGTGCCTCAGTTCTGTACACCAGTCAGAAGAGGGTTCCCCGGTAGTTGAATGAGGGTTTATTTAGTAGTCTCAAAGCATGTTGTGCAGTTCCTCGACCCCCTTTTTCTTTGTCTCATCGAGCCTTCATTTAAGGCCTCGTAGGATCACCTTGTTTGCAGCTTTGGCTTGTCCGTTCGTTTACGGGTGCTCGATGGAAGCGAAGTGTTGGATGGTGCCTAGTTAGGTGACGAATTCTTGAAAATAATTGTCTGTGAATTGTATTCTGTTGTCGGTGACAATAGCTTGAGGTATGCCGAAACGGGAAAATATGTTTCGTTTGTAGAAATAAAGTATGTTTTGTGTTGTGATTTTGGCTAGGGCCTCCGCTTCTATCCACTTTGTGAAGTAGTCCACGCCCATTATTATGTATTTATTCTGGTTTAAACCCACGACGAATGGACCAAGGATGTCTAACGCCCACCACGCGAAGGGCCACGTGGATGAAAGAGTTTTGAGCTCGTTAGGAGGTCCCAAGTGAATGTCCCCGTGACATTGGAATTTGTCACATTTTTTTACGTACTCCTTTGTGTCGTGTTGCATGGTAGGCCCGTAATATCCTACTCGTAAAGCTTTTCTGGCGAGGGATCTTCCCCTGAGGTACTGGGGGTTGATTCCTTCATGGATTTTGCAAGATATGGGCGACTTTGGGCTCTTCAACACACTTGATAAGGGGGGTGGAGAATCCTTGTCTATATATTTTATTTTCGACCATGACGTACGAGCATGATATTGTCCTGACCACACTGTCCTCTTTTTGGTCGGATGGTAGTTGTGATACAGTGGGAGAACTGACTTGAGGTTTTGCGTTTGTGTTCGCAAATATTTCAGTTTAGCAAGAGTCGCCATCGACTTTTATTTTATCCAAAAGGAAAGGTAAAAAAGCACAGGAAAGACCTTTGAGATGTTTTCTTGAGTTCGGGGGGTAGATTATGAAAAGGGAAGGTGCTAGCACCCTTTTCATCCATGGTTTTCCATGGGCTCTTAGTTACTTGTTTAGATCACTTGCTTTGCTTTTCCAATTGTTTGAAATGGTGCTTTGTGTGGTTTTGAAAGTATTTTAAAAAGAGGCCATCGTTTTGGCAATCTTTGTAATGATTCTTGTTCGTAAGAATGTATACAAAGATGTTTTGTCTTTTGAAAAATATTTCAATGTTTGAAAGTTTATTTGGAAATGTTTTTTTTGAAATTGTGTGTGTTTGTTTGAAAATAGCAAGGACGGTTTGCAAATTGATCAAGTAACTAGAAGCTTATCTACCTACTCAAAAGTCTTTCCTACACATTTTTATTCCTTTGACATTGTTGTTTTACCATTGCATTGGTAAACAACCCTATCTTTGGATGTTAAACGGGACGGGCGTGGGTCATCGTATGACCATGATAGCAATGGTGCCAAGTATCTTAGCTTGTTTGAGCGACCAAAATCATTTTGTTTTTAGGCAACCTTATCGAGCGTCATCGAGGGACTATGATCTTTTGTTTTGCATTGTTTTGCCAAGATACCTAGCATGCATACCTTGGCCATTTTTTAAGGCAACAAAGTGGATGAAACCCTAGGGGTGCTTGTGTGTAATGTGTTGTCATTTACATGCATTTTTGTCTTGTATTTAGGTCATGCTATTTGTTTGATTTTGTCTTATCATACAAACCCTAATTTACTAAACATGTATATAATTCGATAAATTGCGTAAAATAAATCTAAGGTATTACAACAATATTATGGGAGAGGGGGTACAAGTTTTGAATGGGGATATTACAAAACAAAACCCTAATTTACTATTACAACCCAATTTAATTTATTGTACAAATAAATAAATAAGCAAATATTTAAATATGCAATAAAATGTAAATATGCAAAAAATGTTTTTGTATTAATTTTATGTATGTAAAATAAAATTATTATTTATGTCTTAAAAATAAGAAAAATAAAATGATTATTTTTTGAAAAGGTGAAAACCCTAATTTTTGTTTAAAAGAAATATTGTTTTCTAATCATTTATTTTATTCATTTTGTTCAAGAAAAAATAATAAGAATATATACAAAATGTTAAAAAATTGAATATTGTATGAAAATATTATTTTAAATGTATAAATAATAAAAATAAAAATGTATTATATTTTTATATTATTTACAAGTTTTATTTAAGAAAATAAATTATAAAATCCTAACAAACTATTTATTATGCAAAAAAAAATGATAAAATGCAAAAAATAAAGAAAACATTTTTTTGTGATTTTTTAATGTTAAAAAAAAAGAGTCAGAAAACATAAAAAAATAAAAAATATGCAAAATATAGAAAATGGGCCAAGGGGGATGCAAAAAGGAAACAGGGAGGTGTGGAAAGTGAGAGGCCCAAGGTGCCAGGCCCAGAACCTTCGTCCCTGACCTCCAGCCAAACGTCCAAACGCGCGCGTTCTTCTTCAAATCTTGTTCTTGCTATTCTTTGCATAAAATCAAAAACTTAAAACATGAAAAATGTAGCTCATGAACTCACGATTCCAATGATATAAAGAACATGACCTAACTCTAAAAGACCAAGGAGAATTTTAATGGCCCTAATTTCTGACCTAGTTTTTTCAGCATGTTCAACATCCAAATACTCTTAGCTCAGTTAATATAAATGGAATCTACGCATATGTACAGCTTAAGCATGTTGAAGACTATATTTTTGCTTCACAAACCTAAGCCTAAGGATGTCTAAATAGAGAGATAGAAACATGACAAATACCTTGTTCAGTTGAGTTTGGATATGACAATGTGAGAACTTTGAGTGAGGCCTGAAGTTCTTGTGAGCTTCCTTGAAGTTCCCTCAAGCTTCTCTAATGCTCAACTTGCCTTGTAG